GGGAGCGCGAGTACCGGGTCTTCCGGCAACCTACTGCTGAGCAGTGGCGCGAGCACGGGTGGTAATGGCGGCTCCGTGTTGGTGAGTGTGGGCGACGGTTCTGTTGGTGTTGGTGGGAAGGTGTCGATCACGGCTGGTCTGAGTTCTGCGACGACGACAGGATCTGTCGGTGGCTTGATCGAGCTGGTGGGTGGCCAGGGTGCACTGACTGGAGGATCTATCAGTGTGAGCAGCGGTGCTGCGTCCGGCATGACCAGCACAAGCAAGACGAGTGGCGATGTGTCATTATGGAGTGCATCATCCGGCACAAGCGGGTCTCTGTCTCTGGTGAGTGGCGCGTCTTGGTTGTCTTCGAGTGGGTCGATTGGTCTGTCTACAGGCGCTGCGACTGGCGGTAGAGGAGGCAACATCGAGCTGTCCGTGGGAGGTGGCAGCATCGGAGCTGGCGGCAAGGTGTTGCTGACTGCTGGTAGTACGAGTGGTAGCACTACCAGTGCTGCTAACAGTGGTGCGGGAGGCGACGTGGAGGTGACAAGCGGCGCGAGCAGCAGTTTCACGAGCGGCAGTGTGCTGGTGCGCACTCCGGATGGCGGCTCGAGCGGTCCGTCGGGTTTGATCAGTCTGACGACGGGTTCTGCGACGGCGGGCACGGTGGGCGGCGTGACGGTGAGCACTGGCGGTAGCACGGGTGGCAATGGCGGGTCTGTGGCATTAAAGGTTGGTACTGGCAGCAGTGGTGCTGGCGGGTCCATTTCGCTACGATCCGGCGACACCCACTCGACGGGCACAGTGGGCGGATCGATTTCACTTAGTGCTGGCAGCGGCATGACGAGTGGCGGGTCGATCTCGCTGCAGAGCGGCGCGGGTCTGAGTTCATCTAGCGGCGACATCTCTCTGACGACACCAGGCGCTGCGGTGACGAGTGGCGTGAGCGGCAGTGTGCGTCTGACGAGCGGCGCGAGTCGCGTGGGTGACAGCGGGTCCGTGTCTGTGGACACGGGCGTGTCAACAGGTGGCCACGGAGGGTCGATCTCTCTGTCGGTGGGTGCTGGCGACGCGTTATCCGGTGGCGCTATCTCGCTGACTGCAGGCAACTCGACGGCTGTGTCGTCGTCCACGAGTGGTACGGGTGGCTCGGTGAGTGTGTTGAGTGGGCGTAGCGTGGGGAGCACGAGCGGTTCGATTTCACTGGGCACAGCCACGGGCGGCACGGCGGGTCGGTCTGGCGTGTTGAGTTTTAGCAGCGGGAGCGCGAGTACCGGGTCTTCCGGCAACCTACTGCTGAGCAGTGGCGCGAGCACGGGTGGTAATGGCGGCTCCGTGTTGGTGAGTGTGGGCGA